TCACACAAATTCTTCTGCTAGTTGAGGTTTAGTCTACTTCTGTATCCTTCCCTTCAAGGCTCAGGGGTCCAAGATTATCTTCTGTGTCTGTGTCAATTGGTTTCCCTTGTCTTTGTTGAAGATGGTCTGTGCAGTCCTTCTGCCTAGTCCGCCATCTTGCCGGAACCTCATTTTACTTTGGATATGTCCATAGCTGTGGTTTCTGTGTTATGTTATCTTGTGTATTAATGGTTGGTTGTTATTTGCTATTGGAGACAGTTCTTGAAAAAGCATAATGCTCAAGGCAGACTTTTTTTTCTTTTTTTCTATAAGTTCAGTTAAACTATTATTTGATTTAAATAAGACTTAAGGTGATATCTTTGGTTTAAGATTTAAAGATTATCTCAGCACAATGGTTTCGGGGTTTGTCTACTCTCTTTGGCTCCAGAAAATCTAGAGTCCATGAAAATTTGAAAATTTGTTCTGCATCCTTCCACTTCCCTCTTATGCCCCCCTCTCCCCAGTCTGGGTTCTTCTGTGGAATCTTTAATCAAAATGTTCACTAATGGTTGTTGGGCACCATCATGTTCTTATGGTCTCATGGCAAGGGAGGCAGTTCTTCATGGAGATAATTAATGACACATTGCATATCCTCTTCCTGTTCCTGACCTTTCTTCTTCTTCTGTTGTTCCAAGTGAATAGAGACTAATTGTGCCTTAGGTGGCTGCTTTCAAATTTTTAAGACCCCAGGCACTAGTCAAGGAACTAGGAGGTGGAATAGAGGCACTAAACATGTTATTAGGCCAATTAACTAGGATGTCCAATGAAACCTCAACCCTAAAACCTCCAAAGAAACCAAATCCCATGAGGTGTTTGGTTATACATAAGCAACCTCCGTATCTATTCTTTTTTGTTTGTTTTTCTAAGTATATCTATCACACAACTTCTGGCATTTCAACTTGTTACAGTGTATAACTTACACCAATTACAATAATCAGCTGTATAACCCTTCCTTTAATCATTGTGATTTTTCTATCACTTCCCCTCCCTTCTGTCCCTGGTAACCACTAATAAACTTTGGTTGCTATACATTTACCTTTTCTTGTCTTTTCATATGTGAGATCATGTAATATTTGTCGTTTTGTGATTGATTTATTTCACTTAGTGTAACATCTTCAAGCTTCATCCATAGTGTAGCATGTATCAAGACTTAATTTCTCCTACTGATGGTATAGTGTTCCATTGTATGTATATACCACGTTTTGTTTATCCATTTATGTTTATGGGCAGTTAAATTGTTTTTACCTTTTGGCTATTGTGAATAGTGCAGCAGTGAACCTTGGTACAAGTCTGTTTTTGAGTTGCTGCTTTCATGTCTTGTGGTTATGTATCTAGGAGTGGAATTATTGGGTCTTACGGTAGTTCTACTTTTAGTTTTTTGTGGAACTGCCACACTGTTTGCCATTGCGGTTGTACTATATTTTTGAATTCAAACCAGCAGTGGATAAGGCTTCCAATTTTCCTGCATGCTTGCCAACTTTTGTTATTTTCTGTTTTTTAAATCTTAGCCATCCTATTGGGAGTGTAATGGTATTTCATTTTGGGTTTGATTTGCATCTTTCTGATGGCTAATGACACTAAGCATCTTTCCATGTGTTTGGTGGCCTTCTGAATGTTCTCTTTAGTGAAATGTCTATTATAGTCTTTTGCCCATTTTATGATTGGGTTGTCTTTTTGTTGTTAAGTTGTCAAAGATTTAAATAGATTCTTGTTGCATACATGGTTTCCAAAGATATTCTCTCAGTTGGTAGTTTGTCTTTTCACTTTTTTGGTAAAGTATTTTGATGGACTAAGTTTTTAATTTTATATAGTGTCCAATTTATTTTGTCTTTTGGTGTTTCTGCTTTTGTTAATATATTACAGACAATCCATTGTTGAATGCTAAGCTTAATAGATTTATCCCTGCTTGTTATTCTAAGAATTTTATGGTTTTAGTTTGCACATTTTGGTCCTTAATCCATTCTAAGTTTGCTTTTGAATATGCTGTGAGGCATGGATCCTGTTTCATTTTTCTGCATCTGGAAATCCAATTTTCCCAGCACCATTTATTGAAAGACTATTTCTCCATCAAATGGACTTCACACCCTTGTCACAAATCATTTGACCTCAGATGTGTGAGTTTATTTCTGTACTCTCAATTCTATTCCATTAGTCTATGTGTCTATTGCTATACCAGTATGAGGCTCTTTGATTACTGTAGCTGTATAATATATTTTTAAATTAAAAAGTATGAGTTCATCTACTTTGTTCTTCTTCAGCATTATTTTAACTTTTGGAAATGTTATCTTTCCATATAAAGTTGAGGATTGGTGTTTTTATTTCTGTAAAGAAGGCTGTTAGAATTTTGACTTGGACTTCATTATATCTATCGATTGCTTTGGATAACACTGGCATCTTAACAGTATTAAGTCTTACAATCCATTAACATGGAACATCTTTCCATTTAAATCTTCTTTAATCTCTTTCAGCAGCATTTTATGGTTTTCATTGTTTAAGTCCTTCACCTCTCTGGTTAGATTTTTATTAAGAGGTATTTAATTCTGAGATGATATTGTAAATGGAATTATTGCCCTAATTTCCCTTTCAATTCCTCATGGCTGGTGTAGAGAAACCTAACTGTTTTGTTTGTTGACCTTGTACCCTGCAACTTGGCTCAGAAGTTTTACCATTTAATTTTTAGCGATAAGGTCTGTAGACTGAGTACAACACTTTATACATTTCAAGTTCTAATTTTAGCTACTCAATGCAAATATGTTAATTTTCTAACTCTGACTTTGCCATATATCATATGTAATTTCATGATCTTTCCAAGCTTTAGCTCTATACAGAAAACTATAAAGCTCCCAAGTAAGTTTGTGTCATCTTTTCCTTGATAGCAGAAATGTGATGGAGTGTTCTGAGCCACTAGCTGCCAAGGAGCTTTTGAAGAACACTCAAAGTGGACAAGCAAAAGGGCAAAAGAGTGGTCAGCGACTAAATCGCTCCTTTAGACTAGGTAAGCTTTCATTTGAGCATGTTCATGCTGCTTAGAATGCTATTTCAGAGAGTTTCTAATTTTAGTGTTACCTTTCTCTTTAAATCTGTTTTATGCCCTGCTCAAGAACATTCCCCTCCACCCAAATGAATAATGTATGACTCTCTTGACACAGAAAATCCAACTGAATTGAAGCCTAAGAGTACTCTCGGGGGTCAACTGAATGAGTCCATGTTTCTTCTCAGGTATGTAAAATGAAATAAAAAATAGTAGAGAATCAATGGAAGGTGAAAGTTAAACCTTGAAATATATGTTTTCCTACTATCAAAACCATGTTGCATAGAGATAAAGGACAATATTAATGCAAAATATTCCAGTTTCAGTCTCTGTTTTCTAAATTAGAATTTGTGTTGGCCAATGCAAATTATATATATGTGTGTGTGTGTGTGTATGTATGTGTATATATGTACATATGTATGTGTGTATATGTGTATATATATATATTTTAAAACAAACCAACTTATTTACAAGAGTTAATACCTCTTCATTTTGACCTACACTTCAAGTAGAATTGGGTTTAAAATTTCAGAACTCTAGCTTCTTTATTTGGACTCTAAGGAGTTACAGAAAAGAACAGATGGTGAGGTTTTTAAAAAATATTTCATTGTGTTTTCTGTCAAAATTTACACATTAAAATGGGTTGCCAATGAACAATTACTGCACAAATTGTTCCTTGGCTTGGGTTACATATTTTACAATGTGTCAACATTCTCATTAATTACTTTCATTCTGGATGCTTTATTTTCATAATCTGTTTCCACTGTTCCCTTATCCTTTAATCTGTGCTTTAGAGTAATTGTTGACCAATTAATCTTCTATAGATGATTTTTTTTTTTTAAAGATGCGTAACATGCATGGGTACTATTTCATAAGATAGTCTGTTAGCTAAAAGGTGACCTCAGAGGATCATCTTATTTGAAGGTTTAAGGAATGTCTCAGGACAGTGTTTCTTGTGGGGGTCCTGTAGTTTGAACTAGGTCCAGTTAGTCTGGACTTTTTTAAAATTTTGAGTTCTGGTCTACATTTTCCGTCCATTCTTTCAGGATCCATCTATTGTGGCCCTGGTCAGAATGGTTGTTACTGGTAGCCAGACACCATCTAGTTCTTCTGTTCTCAGGGTAGATGAAGCCATGGTTAATATAGACTGTTACTCTTGTAGACTGGATTTTTCTTAGTCTTGGGTTTTCTGTACTGTTTTTATATGTATTTTTCAGAGATAAGGTTTATAGACTACTTAGCATAGTGCCTAACGCGCTTGACTCCTAACCAGAAGCCTGGCGGTTCAAACCCACCAGTCACTCCTCGGAAGGAAGGTTGGGCAATCGACTTCCGTAGTGATACTGCCTCGGAAACCCAAGGAGGGGGCGCTATGAGTCTGGTCTGACTTGATGGCATGTAACAACAACAAGAAGTACAATGCTTTGCATATAGCAAGGATAAAAGAAAAGACTGATAGTTATATATTAAATGGCAGTTCACAAGCTTTTAACACCCCAGATACTACTCATCAAATAAGGATGTAGAACATAAAGTTAATAAGCTATATTATGCCAATTGACTTAATTTTTCCATAAGACTATGGTCCTAATCATTCAAACCCAGGAAACTCATCCTGTGAGGTGTTGGATTATGTCTAAGAACTACTTGTGACTGTGCCCCTTTGTGATTGAGT